AAGTTAATCTCACATAATGAAAGTTTTTAATCATACAATTAATGAATTAAAATCACCTTTAAATTTTTCTATACAAATTTATAAAAAAAAAAAAATACAATTAATGCATCCTAAACCTACATGTTAACAACCCTTTAAAAAATTAAATCTATTTAGTGCCTCAACATATAATGTTGTAAGGGTAGAGTCACGTTGATGGCTAAATGACTCTATTTTATTTTATTTTATTTATTTATATACAAAAAAGAGCAACAATGATTCAATTCACCTTCTGCCTCTGTAGTTAAGTCCTGACCCATTTTCTTTCATCTTCAGTGTGTGATTGGTGGGTTTAATTAGGCCCCTTTGCATCTGTTGCCTTTTAGATTACTTGGTTGTTATGTGATAAAATAAGAATTGGACTCTAATGGGCCTTGCAATCAACAAAAAAGATGAAGTGAGAATTGGAGTATAATAGGTCTTGCAAGAAGTAACAACTATGGTCATCAAAAGTACTGTGTGAGAACAAATTTTTTATTTTTACTTTTTTAGCCTTGGCTAAGAACAATTTACTAGATTAAAATTTTAAGTTGAAAGTCTCGTACTGATGCCAGAGAAGGGTTGTAATTTAAACATCTACTGTTTTCTTAAACCATTGCACCAAGGATTCTACCCCTAACATTTTTCAACTTCATTTGAAAGCAAATGTATAGTTGACCAGAGAATATTGGATCCAGCTTCTATGCACCAAGGACCCTGCTGTTTTCTTGAACCATGGATTCATCTACACTCACAAAGCTTATCTTCTGATGGACGTACTATCTTCTTAAATTAACTTGAGATGTTTCAACAACCAAAATAAATGGATGAGAAATTTAAGAGGAACAAACAGTTAAAAGGAAATTTGTCAAAAAGGAGCAAACTTTTGATTGCTGAGGTAAGAAGACAGCCTAAAATTTTCCCTGAAACAGCAGACAAATGAACTTGTACTTTTGTCCATGTAGAAATGGCTTCCCAAGGAATGAAGCAAAAATAGCTAAGTTTCAAAGTTTCCCAATTTCTTTTCTTTCTTTGTTTTTCCCCTCATGTTTATCAGCAACCAAAAGAAATTCAGAAACAACTAAAAGCACCAACTGATTTCCTTTCATGCTCATAAAATGTTTAAAAAAAATCAAGAAATGCATACCATCAATCTACCAGTCACATGGCCATTGATATTTCCCCGTCGGACTCTCTGGTAAGGCCAAGGCAGGAGCACAAGCATACTCAACGCCCAGATGAATGTCGTAACCATCATTACAACAAAACAGGTGACGATCCTCACACAAGATATCAGTGCCGATATCCATCCATCATCATCAACATAAACATCTTTAAGAGGCCTCTTGTTTACCCAATCCAACTTGTTTGTCAGGTCTATCTCTCTTCCAAATCTATCCTTTCTTTACTCAATTTTTCAGAATTGTCAATCAACATTCAAAAAGCATTACCAGAAGCACATTTTGAAGGACATTTCAAAAGATGCTCATTCAAATTTTTTGTGCCATACGAAGATGGAGTTATATGGGTAGCGTCACAATGTTTGCATTTGGTTCTATCTTTTCCATCATTTTAATTTTTAGCCAAAATGATGTCGAAATCTTTCCAAACATCTAAAACTTTCCTTCTCTTCGACTCAGGCTCAACAATAACTTCAGATTTTACTTCAGAAAACATTAGATATGAAATTAAATTAAAAACTTGAAAATTATTACAAACTAAG